ACTCGGGAGGCAGAGCCAGGTGGATCTCTGTGAGTTCGAGGCCAGCCTGGACTACCAAGTGAGTTCCAGGAAAGGCGCAAAGCTACACAGAGAAACCCTGTCTCGAAAAACCAAAAAAAAAAAAAAAAAAATTATATTTAATCAGTTCCTCAAAAGTTGATAAGAAATATCTCTGATGGCATAGTGATTTGTCAGAAATTTCATTTAAAAATTAAAACTTATGATTGTATTATTTCCTGTTACTGTAGTAAAATATTCTGACAAAGCGATTTGAGGAAGAAAGAGTTTTTCTGTTACATCATGGTACATAAGTCAGAAGGTAGGAGCTGAATCAGAGAAGGATAAAATGCACGCTACTTCTCAATACCCTTAAACAGTCCAGGATCCCATCCAGGAAATGGTGCTACCTTCAGTGGGTGTTTCTTCCTTCCTCAAGTGATGCAATCAACATAGCCTCCCACAGGTATACCCCAAGGCTCTTCTTCCAAATGATGCTAGATGCTGTGAAGCTAACTGTTAACATTAACCATCACATATGTTGAAAGCTGAAACTCTCTGATTATATTCTAACATTTGTCCTTATGTTGAAGAGTTTTATGTTGTTGTAACATTTTCAGTTAGGCAAATGGTTTTTTATCCAATCTTTTTGGTGTTTTGTAATAACTTACTTAAATCTTACACACTGCTATAACTGGTACCCAGAGGGAATTCCTGCTGCACAGAAACAGCAAGCTGCTCCATTTGACAGCCTTCCTCAGAGACAGTGCTCTCCCCTTAAAGAATTCTCTGGTCTTCAAAGCTTTCTCACAAAGAGGAAAAATGATGACTTCCTGAAAGATTTTGTGAAATCAAAAGTATTTGTGCTGTTTTATAGTGATAATTTTGGAATTTTTAAACATAAAATTTTCATTATTTCCTTGGCATTCAGGAGGATTTCATGAATATTCCACACTTTTGGGGGGAATAATTTTTATTTGCACACTTTCTTAACTGGTTGAGATCAAATTATACAAATACTTTGTTTGAAGTTTAGACTTTTTTAAACATTAAAATATTCTTCAATAGCTTTTGTTTTCATTTAAAAGTATAGCTATCATCCATTTAATGCCTATTGAAGAAGTCAATTTTAGAATATTTATTGTTTCCTTAATTATCTCTTATATTTGGTCATTTAAAATTGTGAAATTTAAAAATATTGTATTTAAAATAATGCTGAAACTTATCTCTGTTTCTTAGTCACTAATATGCAGGTCACAGGCTATAAACCTTTTAAAGTTTTAAGAATGCATAATAAAGCCAGGCAGTGGTGGCGCACGCCTTTAATTCCAGCACTTGGGAGGCAGGGGCAGGCAGATCTCTGTGAGTTCAAGGCCAGCCTGGTCTACAGAGCGAGATCCAGAAAAGGTGCAAAGCTACACAGAGAAACTCTGTCTCGACAAACAAAAACAAAAACAAAACAAGGAAAAAAGAATGCATGATAGAGTTTTTTCAGAAGAGATGAAGCTAACCTCAACCTCTGCCAATGGTGTCAGTAGTTGTCATGGAATGAAAGGAATTGCTTCCTGATGGAAAACCATTCAATATGCCTTGAAATTAGCAGGCATTTTCACAGGTTATTTGTTAAAGTGAAAAGAAGGGTCAGGATCCTGGGCAAAACAAAAACTAGTCCTCGACTCTTTTTTTTTTTTATTTATTCTTTTTTATTAATTTTTTTAAGCATTTTTTTAAATTTATTTTGCAATACAATTCAGTTCTACATATCGGTCACAGATTCCCTTGTTCTCCCCCCTCCCGTCCCCCTCACTCCCCCCCAAGCCCCCCTCCCCATTCCCATCTCCTCCAGGGCAAAGCCTTCCCCACAGACTGAGGTCAACCTGGTAGGCTCAGTCCAGGTAGGTCTAGTCCCCTCCTCCCAGGCCAAGCCAAACAATCCTGCATAGGCCCCAGGTTTCAAACAGCCAACTCATGCAATGAGCACAGGACCCGGTCCCACTGCCTGGATGCCTCCCAAACAGATCAAGCCAATCAACTGTCTCACCCATTCGGAGGGCCTGATCCAGTGGGGACCCCTCAGCCATTGGTTCATAGTTCATGTGTTTCCATTCATTTGGCTGTTTGTCCCTGTGCTTTATCCAACCTTGGTCTCAACAATTCTCGCTCATATAAACCCTCCTCATTCTCGCTAATTGGACTCCCAGAGATCCACCCAGGGCCTAGTCATGGATCTCTGCATCCAGATCCCTCAGTAGTTGGATGAGGTTTCTAGCACAACAATTAGGGTGTTTGGCCATCCCATCACCAGAGTAGGTCAGTTCGGGCTGTCTCTCGACCATTGCCAGCAGTCTGTTGTGTGGGTATCTTTGTGGATTTCTGTGGGCCTCTCTAGCACTTTGCTTCTTCCTATTCTCATGTGGTCTTCATTTACCATGGTCTCTTATCTCAGTCCTTTTCATCAGACAATTTTCAGACCAATGGGATGATTAAAAACATTATTAAGATTAAATTAAAAGCCAAGGCTTGACTGAGATAATTTTAATGGCATGCCTTTCCCTTAATGAATTCAAATTTTATATAAAGAATTGTGAGACCTTATAAAAGAAAATGCTCATATCTTCCTCCAGGTATTTGATCAACATGAACACATGAACCAAAGAACTGATGATGTTTCTAATATAGGACAGTTTAATTTTTTTTTTGAAACAAGTTTTCTCTGTGTCGCCCTGGTTGTCCTGGAAGTTGCACTGTAGACCATTCTGGCCTTGAACTCACAGAGATCTGCCCACCTCTGCCAAATGAGTGCTGGGATTAAAAGCATGCATCACCATGCCCAGCTAGGACAGTTTAAACTTTAACTCTCTGATTTATTAGGGTATATCATCACTAATGAAGTCTTATTGAGTCCCTACTAATATATCCTATAGTTTTTGCTTTATAGATGTCATTAATATATTTGGCATCTAAGATTTAGAAGAACTTTGTTATTTATGATATGTGGAGATGCAAGTAGCTGATGACCCTTCTGATCTATTGACTGTTTCTATGCACTAGCATAGGATGAGTCAGATGCCCAGGGAACTGGATCTGGTGCTGAAGGAATTGAGGGCTAGAGTCTCAGTCCTTCCACAGGCTATAACTTCCTGGACAAGTAAACATGCTTCTTTGTCCTATGATCTTTGAATAGCAGTAACAATGCTCCCACCCCTCAGAGCCCTTTGAGGGTTGTGGGAGTATATGCTTAGCACAGGACCTCTGCAGTTTAATTGCTGCAACCTGTTTTCTTTTCTCTTCCTCTTTCCTTTCTCCATGCCACCTTTCTTCCTCTTCTTGCCCCCTTTACTTTCTAGTTTCTGATTGCCGTTCTTGATATCATTGCAAACATTTAAGCTGTAACTTAATTTGCATTGTATCGATTTCATTCAGATTTTGAAGTTATTTCATGTAATAATACATTACTTCATATAGTTAAGACTATCTAAGTATATTTATTGTAATAATGCAAATATCTTATTCCTACCATGTTATTCCATAGTTTTATTTTCTCTCTTCCTCAATACTTGGTTTCCTACCTCCTATTATAGAGAATGTATATTTTTTTGTCCCTTTTCCTACTGGATATCTAGAGGAAATGTGTGAGCAAATAGAGAAAATCATGATTATTTTAAATCAGTCTCAGAAAGAAAAATATGTTTTTTTTTTCACTTTTGGTTCTTCTATTTTTGTATAGATTCAAAAAATCATATACAGAATCTGTGTGAGTGCATGCATGCGTGTGTGTGTGTGTGTGTGTGTGTGTGTGTGTGTGTGTGTGTGTGTATGAAGTAGAAGCCAAGCAGCCAAGCTGTTTAGGAGACATAAAGAGGCTAGCTGTGGGGTGAATAAAGGAAGGATGGGGCTGTCAATTTATTTTATGGTTGCTTTGATGAAGTAACTTAGTGAAGAAAGTTTACTTTGGCATTGTTCAAGGCACAGTCCACCATGGCAAGGAAGCAGAGGCAGCAGGGGTTTGAAGCAGCTGGTCACAGTGCATCTCGTCAGGAACAGAGCTGAGTGCATTGATGGCACTCAGCTCACGTTCTCTACCTTACACAGCCCAAAACTCCCTGCAGGAAATGGGCCCACCCACCTTTGAGGTGGGTTGTCTCACGTCAATTGGTACAGATAAAATAAACCCCATAGGTGATTCTAGACATGCTAGTACTAATTATTGCAGGAAGTATAATGATAGTGTGCTGAATGTACATTACATACCTGCATGAAAATGCCCTTTCATAACACAGAACCATATATAGTGAATATATCCCAAATTTCAAAAATATATTTAAAGACATTGTTCAGTATAAAAGCATGCTGTCATAATTTTTCATTTCTCCATTGCTTTTAATGTTTACTCTTTTTCCTTTTTCATGAATGATTTTGCTTTTTATCAAGTTCATACACAAATATAATATGTTCTGATCACTATTCCTTCTATCCTCTTTTATTTCTTTCCATTTATACCAACATTTTCTCATCCCTACCTGTCCCTTTCCTGGATTCATAATTTTATTTTAATCTAACTATGTAGTTAATTTTCACCAACAGGATTTAGAATCTCTAATATTGCCATGAAACCGGGCTTCCTTGGCTTTCAAGCCACTTGCATTGCTCTTTATCAATCTTCATGATGCAATAGTGTTTTCTTTTACCTTTTTAAAAAATGTCCACATGCCATCATATTCCTCAAATATGAGTTACTGGAATTCAGTGTTGGCTCTTCCCTCAGTGCTGTATTCCCCTGGTTTTGAAATGATTTCTCAGTCTTTAGAACATACAAAGCTGAAGAGCACATCATGGTATTTTGCACACTCTAGTTTACATACTAGTTTTCTATTTACATAACATTTCTCTTACTACACTTCAAATATCAGAATGGTAAAGCATTTATTTGGGTTTTCTTTTTTTATTAAGAAAATTTTTATTCATTTTACATACCAACCACGGATCCCCGTCTCATCCCTCTTCTCTCTCCCCTACAACAGCATTTCCCCCAAGTCCACCCCCCATCCTCTCTCTGAAAAGGTAAGGCCTCCCATGGGGAGTCAGCAAAGCCTGGCACATTCAGTTGAGGCAGGTCCAAGCCCCTCCCCCTGCATCAAAACTGTGCAAGGTGTTCCATCATAGGTAATGGGCTCCAAGAAGCCAGTTCGTGCACTAGAGATAAATTCTATTCCCACTGCCAGGGGTCTCTTAAACAGATCAAGTTACACAACTGTCTTGATTATGTAGAGGGCCTAGTCTAGTCCCATGCAGGCTCTACAGCTGTTGGTCTAAAGTTCATTAGTTCCTTCTAGCTTGATTCGGTTATATTTCTAACTTTCCCTGTTATAATCTTGATATCCCTTGCTCATAGAATCCTTCTTCCCTTTCTTTGCCTGGACTTCTGGAGCTCGGCCTGGTGCTTGGCTGTGGCACTTTGCATCTTTTTCCACCAGTTACTAGATGAAGGCTCTATGGTGACCATTAGGGCCTTCACCAATCTAATCACTAGGGTAGGCCAACTCAGGCACCCCCTCCACCACTACTAATAGTCTAATCTGGAGTCATCCCTGTGGATTTCTGGAAACTTCCCTTGCACTAGGTTTCCCCCTATCCCCATGGTGTCTCCCTCTACCATAGTATCTCTTTCATTGCTCTCTCACTCTGTCCCTGTTCCAGCTGCACCATCCTCTTCCCTTATGGGTTTTCTTTCATATTACATAATGTTGTGATACATATCCAAGGCAGCCAGTAAATATTATAAATAATTGTGCTGAGGAATGCAGATGTCTGGAGATGATTCACATCACACATTATAAACTAAGCCTAGACATATTGTTTCCAAGAGAAAATCAGTACAATTTGAAAATTTTCCTTGTAGCATAACAGTGCTATTACAATAGAATTTTATAATGCTTCTGTGAAGAGGAACTATTTACAGGTGACAGGCATGATAGGGTCCGCTGTTAGTAAAATGACATGCATCAGAACTCATTGTGTATTCACACCTGCACCATTCAGAAATGCAAAACTTACATTCATATCTGATACTATTAAAATTATTTAGATTTACAGAAAATATTTTCAAATGGTTGATTATACTCCAAACGATAATGAGGAACATAATATAAGCTAAGCAGCATTTTTGTAGATTTCATCTTAAGCACTATCTAAATTCTTTAGTGTCTGCAGTTAAGATTTAGATTATAAAAATTAATATCATTGGTTTGAATTACTATGTTCTGGGGATTGTTCTGTTAAAATTAATGGAAGGCCAAGAAACTGATGACTATGTAATACAATTCAAACACAGCCCACTGAGAGAACTGAAAAACAGGATGGCCACAACAGACATGGTTCTAGCCAAATGTTGTTAGAATTAGGTGTTTGTAGTTAAGGGATCCTGTCCCTCCAAGTTTCCAGTCTATCGCTGTTCTCTACAAAAAGCTTGAGGACTAATTAAGCACATTATTTCCAAAACATATGTGTACAGAGACCTTGTCAAACCCTAGAGGGACTGTCACCATATGGCTTCAGGGATGAACTCAGGAACCAGGAAAAAGAAGGTAGTACCATTCTGTCTAGTCCTGCTGCTGCTGCTGCCGCTCATGTACAGCATGTAATTCTGTTTGTGGAGAAAGACAATAATGAAAATTCGCATGGTTTCTATTGGTATGTGTGCCAGTGGGCTAAGGAAAATAGTGAGATGTTGAAGAAAATATTAGTGACTTTAAGAGAGTCTGACTTTGAACACTATGTAAAATAACAAGTTATATCTTTAGAGGATATTTTGGAAAGGAGTGGTGATTACAAAAGAATATACTGTACACAGATTTGTGGTTCTCTTTACTATTGGCTTGAAGAACATGCTTTGTGAGCAATATCTATCTGCCTTTATTTGAATGAAGGGTTTACACTATTAGATTCCCCATTTGAGGGACCACACAGCAAAACTACACTTAAGAAACATAAAAATTTGTCTTTTATTAGGTGGTGTTGGAAGCATCTCACTTTGTTTTGCAAAACTCCTTTTTATATCCATGAATGTAAATGTACTTGAGAGCTAAGAGCAAGTATTGGAATTCTTGCTGTGTATGTGCGTGGTAACAAAGATATGGGTCAGAGATCCTCTGAGTCCAGATGAAATTTCAGACCTGTGGGTCTTTAGGCAGCATTCTACAGCACCACAAAAATACTGTATTCATGACTTCCTGTTTTTACACTATATTAGGACGTTGTTTTGTCATACTTTGAATTTATGCGAAATGATTGAAATGAATAACATCAGGATTTACCACCATATTTAAGCATTAAGAAAAAATATGAAAAAATAGTTCATAAAGTCTGCAGTTCAGCACCATGCTTCCAGTGCAGTGATTGTGAGGGTCCATAAATGGGATGATTTGGCTGCAATGCTCAGAGATGGAGACTCTGTCTAGACCCATTCAAGAACTTTGTGGGTGGAAGAGAGCAGTCTTTTCACAGGTCTCTAATGGTCTGTGAAATTATAAGAATGAAAGTCTAGGCTCACCCTGGTGAATCCCAAAGACATGCCCTTCACGGAGTATTTCCCTTGTTAAAAATGTAATTTCCACAATTCTTACCTCAATTTTAATATACCTCTTTTCCTAAAGTGAAACCAATGGAATCTATAATCTAATGCAAACTCTCATTCTTGACACCCAGGCAAGCTGCCACTTGCCTACTTCAAGGCCTCTGCTGTGTTATCTTCCCTCTTTAAAACAAACGAAAAACTAGATGTTTTTCTTCCAAGTCACAGATCGCACATTTAATGATTTTCAGAATACTTATAACTCAAACACTAGCATCTGATTTTCCTCAGAAGCAGTTAATTTTGTACAGAAGTAATTTTCAATTTCCTTCTTTTCTTTTGTGTTCCATAGAAAATTAAGGATAATTTCAACTCTCTAGTATCATTATTTCAGAGAATATTTCAAATAGGATGCTACAATATTTGATTAAATACATATTTATCGCAAATATTTAAGGAAGAAAAGATAAAGGTGTATGGATTATAATTTTAAGTCAATATACTTCAAAACCTTCTATGTTGCCTAAGTCCTTGATGACTTATTTTTATAATACTGAGCCAATATACATGTATGCACCTACTTTTTGTTTTTCAATGAATGCTTCTGGGGCATTCACTAAACATAGCAAAGAACTTAGAAAGTTTTGTACTAAAAAATCATTCAATAATTCTAAAAATTAATTTCCCATGTGTTACATGATATATCAATGTAAACAACATATCTACACACTGTCAGAATCTCAGATGTTAAAAACTGGAATTCCTTCAGCATGACTTATAGCTCAGGACAGAATCTGGAGATTTATGTTGGAGTCAGCTAGCTGGGTAAGGAGTAGGCACATCCTAGACACAGCATGTGATCATTAATCTTGGTTATCCACCTGGTTGGACCTAGAATTGACTAATAGACATGCTTCTAGAACTATTAGTGAAGGAATTTCTTGATTAAGTTATTTGTGGCACATTCTATGACACCCAAGCTGAAAGGAGGTCCAGAGAAAAGCCTTTGCTCTTCTCCTGCTTGTCTTGGCAATTTGCTAGTGAGTTTTTGTCACCACAGCCACTGCTTTAGCTGATGCCATTTCCTTTTACTGATATCAGAAACTACCTTAATTAGGCTTCCAACATGGACTGAAGGCCAATGGCTCTCCAGGTATCCTCCACATTTTTAGCACCAGGTTGGGCACCCAGCCTCAGTGTTCTCAGCCTCATCAGTGTTAGACAGCCTTTGATGGACTAAGCAGAATACATTGTGTAAACATGTGTGAGTGTGTGTGTGTGTGTGTGTGTGTGTGTGTGTGTGTGTGTGTGTGTGTCCATTCCTTCCTTCTGTTGGTTCTGTCTTCTAGAGTACTCTGACTAACACACAGCAATTTTCAACTTGTCACATGTAACACTGGAATAAAAACTTTGTAAGTGTGATCTGTAGCAAGCCTGACATCTGGCCTTCTAGCTACTAGCCTTATTTTTAGATTAGGAAGGAGACTCAAAATACAGAATATACTTTAATTTGTCTAGGTGAGGTAGTAATCATTTTCATCTCAGTAAGGTCTAGAAATAGTGTTTTCAAGTTTGATATTTTTAGTTATTTCTTTCTATTTTTTACTGCTATTTTTATTGAGCTAATGATTATTCTTCTTTATCAGCTATAGGGTAATGATTTGGTATGTCTATAGACTGTGTGGTGATCAGTGCAAGTATTAGGGATACTATTGTCTCAAGTATCTGTTATCTCCTTGTAGTGATCAGCGAGTATGTTCAAAGTGTTCTTTTCTACCAGTTTGAACTGTATGTTTCAGTACTGTCTTTTTTTTATTGGCAACTTAGGATGCAAAGTATTTTATTTTTAAACTTCTAAAGTTTGAACACAAGAGAGTTTCCAAGCTGTATGCGCTTGCATGGAGCTCAGTTTCTGGCTGACAAACAGTTCCTAACACCCTAGGTGGGCGCCTACGTTCTGATCTGTGAGTGTGAGCTGACCAGCATCCACTGGTAACGTCCCTTTTTTCCTTGATAAGGGCTTAACAAACATTAGGCATTGTTTTAGTCTTACACAGCCAGTGCTGTTCCAAATGTCTCCTGGGAGGCATACACCTTGTACAGAAAGCCGTCTTCATCCTTCTCACTTTCGTACACTTCAGTAATGGGTGTAGACACACTCACCATGCTGTGCCCATTCACCAGGAGGAAGAAAGCTTGATTGGCGTTAAGCTGTAAGTGCCTTCTAATTATCTTGATGAGCTCGCTCATGTTCACGTGATCAGGTACAAGGAACTTGGTTTTGTCCAGGACAGGCAGTTGCTTCTCACCCTTGTATGGCTCTATTATAACAGGGATCTTGGTGGGGTGCCGCTCCCCTATGAGCCGGACATTTTCCACTCTTTGATCGAAGCTGCAGCGCTGCTTGAAGGTCTTCTCGGACGGCACCTTACTCTTCATGTAGACCACCAGAACTTACTCCTCCTGATTGATTGTGACTTTGTTCATTTTAACCCATCTCTTACCTTCCCATTCCACCTTTATTCTACCTTTTCTGGCAACCACTCTTCTGCTCACATATCTTTTTATGGTAGAGGCATTGTCTTTAAAATAAGTTTAAGTGCCAAAGAGAAGAGGCTAGATGTTGAAAGCTAGATAAAGAGCTGTGGCCAAAAAAGATTCTTAACAGCATACGAAATGGGGTGGTTATTAACTGTAGATTGGAACCAAGCATGGTGCTTGAGAAAGGAGGAGCCCTAGCTTGGGCTACACAGTGAGTACCAGGCCAGCCAGGACTACAGAATGATACTTTGATGGTTAGTGTTAATTGTTTACTTGACAGAATCTAGAATCACTTGGGAGACTGGGCTCTGGATACAACTGTGAGGAATTTTTTTTTTTTTTTTTTTTTTTTTTTTTTGGTTTTTTGAGACAGGGTTTCTCTGTGTAGCTTTGCGCCTTTCCTGGATCTCGCGCTGTAGACCAGGCTGGCCTCGAACTCACAGAGATCCGCCTGCCTCTGCCTCCCGAGTGCTGGGATTAAAGGCGTGCGCCACCACCGCCCGGCGAGGAATTATTTTTTTAAGGGCTGTCTCTGAGGATGTCTTTTAGATTTTATCTCTACCCTACATAAAGAAATATAGGCAACTGAATAAAACTGGAAGAGGGAGGCGTGGCCCTCCCCAGGGAAGAGCACACCAATTGGTTGTCCAGTGCCAAATCCTTAGCTCTGAAAACATATACACAAGTAACTTGGTATGGACTCAACAGGTTATATTTAGTACTATATATGCATATATAAATACATATATGTATACAATAACAATTGATGGAAAATGAGGCCATAAATTTGAAGAAGAGCAGAGAGGGGTGTATGGAAGGGTTTGGAGGGATGACAGGGAAAGGAGAAATGCTCGCTCTCTCTCTCTGTGTGTGTGTGTGTGTGTGTGTGTGTGTGTGTGTGTGTGTGTGTATTTGTGTGATGAACTTAGTAGAGCAAGTTGACTTCTTCTCAATGAAGCCCAGTGTGTGCCACATGGCAGTTAGTTTGCTAATGGTCTTTGCTGTGTTATACACCACCCAGGAGCAAAGAATCCTGCAGTGGATTAGTTCTGTATACATGGGGAGACTGTTACAGAGATGCTCAGAAGTAAGGGTATTTTAGAAGGTCTTAGTGATTGTTGTGAATGACACAGAAGGTAAGAATGGGAATGCTTTTGTTTTTGAAACTTGGATCATAATTATAAGTGGCAATCTGGAGTATATTCTCCATGTCCAGGAATCTTGTCAGTATCAGTAATTAAGTTTCAAATAATCCTCATGAGACATAAAAATCCAAACTGAGTTTGGATGACAAGTTGAATGACTGACCCTTCTGACATGGAAACTTTCATTACAGTCCTTTGTGGTTCCAAATTTTAAAGGAAACACATTTAAATTGGTACTCTTGCTTAGTATCCTTCACCATTCCTCTAGTCAGATGTAGAAATTCATGAAGATTTGCTTTTCACTTCCTGTATAACAGTACTAACAGATAATCTGCCTTTGATTAATACTGTAAGAGTGCAGGTAACATCGTATCAAAACACTAATATCTAACTGTTGGGGTCCAGATCCTCCCTGGTTCCGTTATTAAGCACAAGTCATGACTTACATGTGGTTGTGACTGAGGAAAACTGTAGGCATGAAACAGAACCTAGGAGGAATAGCCTCTGGGACAAAACAAGGCCACAAGGTCAGGGAAATACTGCAGGAAGAACTCAGTTAAGAGGCCCAAAATAATACCATTTGATCAGACTCTAACTGCAATGCTGTCTCTAGTAGTTATTTAAACAATACATAAACAACAAAGATAAAAATAAAAATTGTTCATTCTTGAAGTGAACTCAAAGTCTGGTGTCATGCTATCCACCACTACCCTCCTTTCTAGGTCCCGTGATGACCACAGCTACACTGGTTGCAGCATCTAACCAAATACTAATGTCCTCCACCCTTGTTCTATATATTGACTGGGTATTAATTTAGTCTTATTATTTGTCAAACACTAGGAATTCATTATGAATACAATATCATCCTTTTCAACAGAGAGCCCATATTCAAGAGGGTTTAGAAAACTCAATGGAAATATGACACAGCAATTATCAAAGTGGCATATGACCACAGTAAGCAAAGCAGAGCCTCAACCAGCCAGGTGGTCAAAAGACAACTCCCTATAGTGAGCAACCAGGTATCCAGAACCCATCACCTCATTCAGTGGCTCTCCTAGAGAATGAAAACAACATGGGAAGCCAAGATGAAAGCCCCAGAAAGCTACAGTCTTCAACTGGCAATGGTAAATCCTTTAATCCTAAGATTTATTTATTGATTTTTTTTTAAACATGAGCTCAAGTCAGTGAATACCAATGACAATCAATAACTTCATTTCATTAATGCTAGTTTTGGCTCTTGTCTGGGAGTGTGGCTCAGTAGTAGAGTACTTACGTAGCATCCTCAAGGGCCTAGGTTCAATCCACAAATCACACACAAAAACTGCTATTCGTATTTTGAAATGAAAGATGTGTGCAAGCAAAAACAATACTATAGTAACTGCTAAGTGAGCAAGGTATTCTCTCACTTAACCCTAATACTGGCTAATATATTTGAGATGTCTAATAATTAGATGAATTAGAGTCTAATTCATATTTTTCTTTTGGATAGAGCAACATAAACAATATTTAGTGCCATTGTTAAGAAATACTTTCTTTTAATTCTATATCATTAATTAGACTAAGTATAAATAAATACTCTTTGTAAACAAGTAACAGATTCAGAAATGTATGAAATAAAACAAAAATAAAGAATTGTGAATAAAAAGAATTGTTATAACATTTTAGAATTTTTCCAACTTTTCTATATATCGTCATTCTTAGGAAATTGCAGTCCAAAGATAGCCTATTTTTATATTCACCAATATATGCTATATATTTCTCAGATACTCAGAATCAAAAGATTATGATCCTTATATTCTATTCTCTTAAATATGAAAATTTCAACAAGTTTTAAAACTTGTAAAGTACTTGAAATATTTATAAGCAGTAATTATCAAAGTAAAGGGCAAACATAATTTAAACCATGAGAAAAGCAATGTATACTTAAAATGAAAGTATGCTTTCACCCTGCTCTCTGCTTCCCCAAGTAAGGAATCTCCTTCTCCCAGAAAACATCTCACTCTTTGCACATTTGTGCTGTTTATATTTTAGAAAGTACTAGTTAATGTACATCCTAGTCCAAATCTTAAATATAATTTGGAACAACTTGGGAATTTTGATTAAAAAACAAAACAAAACAAAGAATATTTACATGTGTCTTCATAGGTCAAGAGATGAAGCTCCCTGCCCCATCCTGATAGAAAAAAATCTTTAGATCTTTTAAAACTTGGCTTGTATCTGGGTATAGTGGCACACTTCTTTAATCCTAGCTCTCAGGAGACAGAGGCATGCATATCTTTGCAAATTCGAGGCCAGCCTGGTCTACAAAGTGAGTTCCAGGGTTCCAGGACAGCCAAGGCTATACAGAGAAACCCTGAGTCAAAACCACCTTACCTCTCCTCTAAACCCCCTTCCCCCTAAAACCAAAACCTTTGCTTGTGTGGCTCATGAATTGACTCAGTGGGTAAGGGCACTGGATGACAGGACTGAAAACCTGAGTTCAGTTCTCAGATCCTACATGGCAGAAGGGGAGAATGAGTACACACTCACATACACACACATATGTACATGTACACACACATGCATACACACATACATATACACACATAAACACTCAACAAACATAGCAAAAAACCTAAAACTTAATCAAACAGACATCACATTAGCTGTCTGTCAAAATGAAAGCACAAAGAATCACCACACCAAAGAGAAAATTATCTTTTGAAATAAAAGACAGAATAGAAAAAGTTACTACATTACTACTGCAGAAATCTAATGCTGTTTTGCTACAGCTCTGCCTTGATTACACATTCACACATGGTTTCTAGTTTGTGAGTCTGTTACTTCTGTAAAATGAGGTTTTTGTTCATAATCACAGTGTTTTTGTAGCATATGATCATTACTACATTCTATGGAAACAAGAAGAATCAGACCTCCAAAGTATTGTACATAATGCATGCATGTAAGAGCTTTGTTATGTCATATATGTATATGTCTTTATATATATATGAATGTAAAGTGACATTCAATTGCATATATGCCTACTTATAGATTTATGTGTATATTCTTCATCTTCTAAGAAATACATTGGTAAGGAAGTTCGTCATGTTTTCTTCTCTCCAAGAACTTAGAGGGGAACATTTTCTTTAGCAGTATAACCACTGGTAAGTTACCCATGTTTCTGTAAGTATCCCCTTACCTATGTTTCTATAAGTAACTACTAGGCTACTCACAAACAAAAGGAGGACATAAAAGTAGAAAGGGTTCTATTCAGAAGGGAATCAAGCGAGATAATTGGGAGATAAAAATGTAAAAGAAAAGAAAAATACTTCGGTCAAACATACATACATGAAAGGTATTTATTTATGCATGTGTTTTTGAAGAGGGTTTTTCTACACAGCCCTGGCTAAAAAGGAACTGATTACGTAGACCAGGTTGGCCTAAGACTCACAGAGATCCACCTGCCTCTGCCTCCTGAGTGCTGAGGTTAAAAGTGGCATTTACTCCACTATGTTAACTCATTACTATTTTTCAGAAATGAATAATCATCTTACAGATTATATGTATGACTATTTACAGGTAATTGTTCTTTTTGGTGGGCTGTATATATGTGTGGTTGCGGTATTGCATACACACATATAAAAATAACAGCAATTTCTATTATTATTTAGCTCATTTCTCTAGAAACAATTATTTCTATAAAGTATGTGATTGTGTAGTTAAGTCAATATTATGCCATATATTTTTTGCACCAGCTAAAATAATTATTAATCTCCATCAAAACAATTTGAAAGAGCATATGAAATTTTAATACTCATGGAGTTTGCTGCATTCTCCATCATCTGTATTAAAATGTGGGATATTTGATTATATTTACATTTTTCTTGGATTTGTTTTTATTTCAACCCAACACAGCCAGATCTCTTATAGTCTGTGTGGTCTAAAGAGCCCAGGCTTGCAGTTGTAAAGATGCACGGTTTGCCTTACAAGCTAAGTATTGGTTTCTGGGTGTTACAGTTCTCATTGAAAAATTGTGAACATAATACATACAGTAACAGCTCTCCCAGAAGCAGCCAAGTAGCAAAATTACATTTCTTGTCTAGGAAGCAGCTGCTTAGCACAGTACTTTGTATGAGAACGGAGCAGGCCTTGCTATACACATGAATGATGAGCAGTGCTGTGGGGACTCCTTCTAAAACACACATGT